ACCTTTTCTCCGGAAGGTTTCCATGCGGTGGACAAGGAGCATGCACCCTTTCCATCTGGGAAGCTTTTCTTGCGGGAGACACCGGTCAAAGGGGATGGTCTCGTCGACCCAGAGACTGTACAGTCTCAGGCAGAGAGGGGTGGCTCTCGGCCCTTGAGCCCTTTTACAGTCTCAAGGCCGAGAGGGTTTCCTCTCGGCCTTGAACCATGTAAGGTCTCAAGGTCAGGAGGAACCCCTCCCAACCTCAAGACCTAGTAACCATTTGCGGGTTGGTAGGGGTTCCTCCCAGCCAAAGGCTTTTCTTTTGTTTTTTTTGCCTTCAACAGCCTCAAGCCCCAGGGCTATCCCATAGGACCCATGCCTGGGTCCTATGGGATATGGCGCAGTTGGCATGTGTGCAGGTAAGCAAGCATGCCCCACTTGTAGGTTGGCGTGCAGCCTCGCACACCAATCAAAATTGGTGTGTGGACCTGCACACCAACCTGCTGGGGAAATGCCCGTGCAGAGAGTTGGTGTGTGTGTCTGCATGCCAATTGTGATTGGCGTGTTGGAGTGCGTGCGCAAAGGGGGAGGGAGTGTGATTATCACTCCCCCTTTCTGTATTCTCTGTACTGTACTAAAATACAGCAAGAAAATCAGCCCTGGCTTGTGTCCAATTGCATGCAATCGGACACCAGCAAGGTGAAAGCTGTTGTGTCCGATTTTGTGCAATCGGACATGGCTAAGAAAAAGATGAAGAGCTTCACCTTGCTGGTGTCCAATTGAATGCAATCGGACACCATCAAGGTGATGTTTCAAAATCCAAAAGCGGAAAGTTCTTTCCCACCAACTTGGCAATACATAGTGGATCTGCCCTTTTTTGCCTCTCCAGGGAAAAATGTCGGGCCGACCCGACCCAAACCCGACTTTTATCTATTAGAGTCGGGTTTGGGCAACATTTTTGAGAATGCAACCCAACCTGCACCGACCCGATGTAAGTGTTGAGTCGGGTTCGGGCACTGATTTTTGACCCGAACCCAACCCGCAGCCCGCCTGGTGGGCATGGGTCAATGCCCCGACCACACCAACCCCCTGGTCTGCAGACAGGAAGGTTTGGCTGGGTCGGCGGAGGTTGGTTTGTGTGTCAAAATACCAGGCGGGTTGCCGTCAAGATGCACCTGTGGTGTACATTGTCTTGACACATCCCCAGGGCTATTTAGTAGCCAATATGGTATCTACAGGGGTGCTTGCCAGGGCACCTGTGAACCCTAGCTAAAACCACCCTAAAGACCCCCTCACAAGTGCAAAATCCTGGGGTCCTCAGGTGGTAACTGGCGGGGTTTGGCTGAATATCTCAGATACTCCTGCCAAACTTTGACCTACCAAAAAACTGACAAGTCCCTCAATACAATGTACCCCTACACCACCAGAGCAGTTTAAGCTCCTCCGGGTTAGCAACCCGTAGTCAGATATATGACTGCGGGATTGTGTGGAACCGTTGGTCGACCACCCTGTCTGACCGCCGCAGGTAACATCGTTGGTATGACCCCACGGCCAGCCCAACGGAGATTCTGCCGGCAGAGATGACCCAATGGTCAGTCTGCCAGTATTCATGCAGTTGGGGTTGACCCAGCGGTCAGACTGCTGTAGACCATGCAGGCAAGGCCGACTGAACGCACTCAGTCAATACTGACCCAACAGTTGGTCCGCTACCATTGATGCAGGCAGGGTTGACACAACTGGCATCCCAACACAAGGGTTCCTCCACCCAGTCTTTGACAGTCAGCCCACCATCAGTCGACCGAGGCCTAACTGCTCAAGAGCTGACAGGAGGGCTGCACAACCGGGGCACCTGCAGCGCCAGTAAGCCACCAGAGACCTGATTTGACAGCCCCGGTGTGGTAGTCAAAAATGTGAAAATTCAAAGTTTTTTTTCCTTTTCTTTTCTTATATATATATTTCTTCATATTATCACCCAATCACTCTCAGAATTCACACCATACGGCGCAAGAACTGGACTCTACGGATAAATCCACCCTTGGTCACCACGGAGGCGTCACTGGAACACATCTGGATCAACTCTTACCCAACAATGGACTACATAGCACAAGGATTTCACCCATCATTACATATCACCAAACCCAATTACAACCCTCAAGCTACACAGACACCCTCAGTACAGTACACACTCATTTACATACATCTACACTCTTTACATTTCACTTCTACATATTACATCATACCTGCAGTCTAAATTAGTGTATTTTCCATGCATGACAGCTGCATCTTACACCACCACACTCACTTGTAAACACATCAGAACCTGACCAATCAGAATCACTCATTCAGCTGCTTGGATCACCACTTCAACTCTTGTACATGTCTGACCAATCACATTCACTCATTCGAATTTTGTATGTAGCTAAAAATACCTCATGTAATAGCCCAGGTCAGCCAAAATCACTCATTACTGGCTGCCCTGGAGCTAAATTCCCTCACTGTTGTATATATAAGGAGGCTCTCCTCCCAGTTGTTTAATCCTCAGTCAAGTAACACTCAAGGAATATTTGACCACTTTTACACAAACACTTTAAAGCGCCAACCAAAACCAAATCAACAACTCTTCATCACACAACTCATTCCTGAACTTTACCCTATCACTTGATTAATACTTGCCAAGCTAAGCTTGGTGGGTCTTGTTATCTGATAGTATAGAAGGGCAGAGCTTTCACTCCATCATCCCCTTCTCCATTCAGCAAAAAGGGTCTTACAACCACTTTTTGAGTCTTACACCGGCAGACAAACCTGACAGCTGTCTAGCTGAGGCCATCATTTTCTTTCAGGATCTGATTGGTCAGGATGACTGGTGTGCAACCGAAATGCCAATGTCAAAGCTGAAATTTGCAAGTTAATTCCCAACTCAATCAGAGTTCACCTTTTCAGGCAAAAGCTTGAGAAAAGTTGGGCTTGAAAAAATAAAAAAATATTGAGAATCAAAATGACTTGTAGAAAAAAAAAACACCAAAAAGCTGTGGCGGGGTGTCATAACTTGAATATCACAAATTTCAATCAATCTGTTAAATCCAAGTGGTGAGAAGAGCTGCTGGTTGTGCCCAAGAGCTGCAGAGGTCCCCAGTTCAAGTCTTCTGAGAAGCCACTATTTTTTATGGGAGTCTTGCCTGAGCTAAAATCTCACAGCATATGTCAACCTTAGTGCAGCTACATAATCTGCATGGAAGGTCAAAATGACAGCCCTGCAGGCGGTGTGACCGCAACGGGAGGTCGGGGTGCCCGCAGGACTGTGAATCCATAATCTCAGTGTGTCTCAGACCCCTGAGACACTTGTCAATATGCAGGCGGGCTGACCGATGTCAATGCACTGCCCGCCCGGCAGACATGGGTCGGTTCCCTGACCACCCCGTCTCCCTGGCCGCAAAGCTGCCTAACTGAAGTCGGCAGACAGGAAGGTTTGGCCGGGTCGGGGGAGGTTGGTTTGCCCATCAGAACCCTCAACGTTTTGGCGTCAAGGTGCTCCGGTGGTGTACCTGGCCGCCTGCTACACACTCATCTCAAGTTTGTCCCCGACCTTAAAGTGGTTCTACACTCAACACATGAAGTTGAATTCTTGGCATGCCGTAAACTAACACCTCTTCTTTGGTTCACAACTGACCAATTGAAGGATTCACCTTAATCTCCTCAAGTAGAAATAAGCAGGTATTTGTTGTACCACAGCTATCCTCTTTTGTTTGTTCATATATTGTTTCCATCAACTTCATCAATGTTTTATTGTTGGAATTTCAACTCCTCCCTTCTTCATCTCCTTCACTTCTCAATTCTTTCATAACTCTTTCTTAAATTAAAACCCTAAACTACTAATAATTCTATAGTCTGTCTAGTAGCAAGTCATGAAGTTAAACATCAAATTCTTGTAGTCAAAGAACCCTGAATCCCTAGTTGTTAATTTCTTTCTTCTCCATGCTTATCTTCTAATTATTCTTAAAGTTGTGGTGTTGAGATTGATTTAATGAAACTAACATCTTCATTAAAATTGTGGTTCTTGTTTTCTTTTGTTGTTTATCAAGTAGAGTTATCATAAATAAAAGGATTTCTCTCTCATTCTTCATCAACACTGAATTCAATTTCCTCTCAGTCTGTTTTTTATTCATTATTGTTTCTTTATTCAATTTTCTCAACAACCACAAATTGAACTTGTGTATCTAGTCTATGTAATCTAGCCTAGTACAAGAAATTAAAAACCATCAGCTTTCTCCTTCATTTTTCGACACCTTGAGCTGTTCCAACAAATATGTTTTGTTGTCTAAAAGTTCTTTCTGAAACTACTCCCTGTTAATTGGTCTTAGTTTAAACATTTATTACTTCAATGTTGTATTGCAAAGTTGGGAAGTTGTTTTTTGCTTCAGAGTCTCATTTCTAGTGCAATGTGATTGAGATTATCCTATACAAGAAATAGAATTGAAAAACAAAAACCCAACAGACCCAGAATGAAAAACGAGCATCTGTGGCAAACAGAATCAAAGCATAAGAGATAGCCAGCCAAAAGATTGGAAACAAGGTATCATGAGGATACAAGAAGCAGGTTGATTTCCCCTCATTCACCCCTATCAGTATCCTCTTCAACGATAGACTTGCCTGTTGGTGCATCAGGTTGACTTTGAGCCAGATCAAGTTGTTCCATTGCATCACCAATTGTATGCGCATGATCATTGAGTGGTTGAGATGTTGTCCTCTGAGATAAGACACACTCTCAAACCATGGATGTGTGGATTTCAAGTAGATTCCCAGAGCCAATCAATGCAACACATCCATATTCCATGCCTTAATCAGTGAAAGTTTTTCATGATCCTTCAAACAAAGAGTGATTTTTGATCTCAGTGCATGCAGCTTAATAGATGTATAAGGAAGTTAATTTTCAGGTGAACCGAAGAAGATTTATAATAAAATAACTTTGGAACTGTGAGTTTTGGGGATGATGGTGCAGCCATACTTTTCAAGGGGCTGATTGGCCACAGGTCAGATTGTGTGGAAGGTGAAATATTGGAGTGTCAAGAACTTTCACTTGGTGGGCTGTACTTGAAGATAGCCTGAATAGATCAGTTCTAACAGAAATTCCTGGTTTCTCAAAATGAGCTTGAATTTGTAGGGATTTAAAATTTTTGAAAGACCAATGCCAGCTGGCCAAGAACCAAGAGCAATCTATTGTGGCAGGAGGAATATTGATTTTGCAATTACTAAATTTGTTTACAAAGTTATCTAGATTGTTAGTATCTAAATTGATATGTTTTGACATAATGGGGCGCCAGCTGTCACCTGTGAACAGTTAAAACTGGCTACTCAGGCCACATCCAACATAATTCTAATATATTTTGAGGACAATAATCACAGCTTTGGAATGTTTGAATTGTTTGGTATTTAGCCTGAGTGACTAGTGGTGATTGTAGGCAAATGTGTGATGTTTTGGTTAACATTTGATTTACCCATGTCCACCAGTCAGTTGGACTATACACAAGATAATGAGGGTGTTCCAAAGCATTGTGATTATTTTCAGATAGCTTGAGAAAAAATATCTCAGCTTGGCAATGTTCAATTCAATTTTCTGTAGCCTGAGTGACTAATGTTCACAGACAAATGTGTGATGTTTTGGTAAACATGTGATTTACCCATGACTAACAGTCAGTTAAGCCATGTGCACAACAAAGAGGCTGTTAAAAAGTGTGGGAAATATGTTTATATACTTGAATAAAAATGATAAATATTTAGTGTATAGCCTTTCAAAACCACACCCATTAGCCCATGGCCTATTGTGACTCAGGCTGCATACTATATGATTTGATCATTCAAAAAATGGGATCATTTCTATTCAAGTAAATAAACACAATCCCCCACATTATTTGTAACACTCTGTTCAGTGTGCACATGTAAATTGCTGCTGTTCATGGATTATCACATGCTTACCAACACATCACGCATTAACCTATGACCATTAGTCACTGAGGTTACATCAGCACAATGACCTCAGCTTGCATTGAGGTTTGATTGAAGCTTGCTGCATGTCAACTGCTAATAGTTGCTTGACTTTTTCTTTTAGTGAAAGCTAGTAATGTTCTTATGAACACAATCTCCATGCTTTGGGACACCCTCATTATCTTTTGTATAGTCCAATTGACTGGTAGTCATGGGTGTATCAAATATGTACCAACACACATGTCCAATCACCTATTCTTTACTAAATTGAATTTATCAATCCCTGATGCAACATATTAAATTTCCATCCCTCAACTTTCTAACCTCAAAAATTTCCAAATCACTTTCAAGTGTTAAAGTTAAAATTTAGAATCTTATGTCAGAGTAGAGTTATGCTGCAATTTCAAATTCCAAGTGGAATTGTAATAATGCTCACCCCAAACATTCCTCCTGTTTTTATTTGTCCACCCACTATTGAAACTTGCCCCAATCTAAACCCCTATAGACTCAAGAAAAATTTTATATCCGAGATTCTTCTTCAGAATCATATTCATCAAACTGGTCCCTGGGTGGTATTCAAAGTTGACTTTTGACTGGGATTATGTAAGGAGGGATCTCAGCCCAAAAAATTTACATTATTTCATATTGATGCATTGATGCATCAGCTCCCATCCCCCCCCCCCTGGTATAAACTATCAATAGAATCTCCTTGGAAATTTACTATTTCTTCATGAATACTCTGTCCCTTATTATTTTCACTATTGACCCATACCACAGTATGTAACCCTCATATAAATTCCAAATAATTAATAGCAATTGTCACATTTTTTCAGAGTCATAAATAGATCTATTTGGAGTATCAAACAAAACGTTTATCTCTCTTTTTGTGTGTCTACTCTCTCTCTTTCTTTGTGTGTCCCTCCCCTCTCTCTTTTTGTGCATCATTGTCTCTCTTGGCTGGTCGCCAGTCGAGCTCACAAGAATTAAAATAAAATTGGAATCATTTCTTGAATGCAGCTCTGGAATGACCAAAATTTGGAGGATAATGATCATTAGCTGGGTGTTGATGTGTAGCACCTGATCTAGGTACTAAGGGAAGGTGCTGATGTCCATGCGCACGAAGATGATCGAGAATAGCTAGGCACCAAATGATTCTAGTCCAGTCTTGGATAGAATTTTAAATTTTGTGACCTAGGCGTGCCACAGACTCTTATACCGTGATCTCTAGCAATCACTCTCTTTTCCCCCCACGCGCACAACTATCTCTCAATCTTATTCATCATCAATTAACCAGAACCAGTCCTCTCCTTTTTCAACAACCTCCCACCCACCCTGCAATCAAAAGTAGATTTTTCGAGTGTTTGGTGTTTTGCTCTCAAACCTACTTCTTTCCTGTTTTTAGAAATTATAAAAATTTACAGTAAGACATTGGAGGACTTCCCGTCAGAATCTGCGGGTCCCCCAGAACCAATCTAGAGCCTCGAAAACCAAACTTCCCTGCGAGAATTAAGAGTTTTCGGCTCTAGATTGACTTCTTTGAGGGTCCCAGATCCGACAGGAAGTCCTCCATTATCAAAGATAACTATACTTCTTTTCATTTCCGTGGTCCCTATTGAATTCTTTGTTCAAAAATTTAGATTAAGAATTAATTCAATAAATTAAACAAAGATTCAATCACAACCCAAGCTTGAACAGCTGGAAGAATTTATTCTACGGCTGTTCTAAGAGATGCCCTGCAGCGCATCTCTGGAAAAGAGTACCACTAAAATGATGAAGAGTGCCAAATGGAACACACTGATATTGGCAATGGATGATGACCAACACTACCATTTGCCGGGCATGATAAACTCTGATGACTTTTAACTTTTGATTGGAGTCGATTCAAAAAGCTTTGCACATGATTTCAAAATGGTAGAAAGAAAAAAAGATAACTTCAAAAAATCATCGGAATCGAGATGCTGGTTTCAAAAATGCAGTAGATCTGACGCGCTGGTGGAATAGACAAGCGTGAAGTAGAGAAGAGGCTATAATTGCGTTATGAGAGATTCTGTGATATGAGGTTAAGAAACAAAGACTGTGTAACACTTGAGTATGTTGAGTTGTCACACTGATCTTGAGTAATATGGCGAGGGGACTCGTCACAAGGGTAGGGTTGGCGGCGCCACCGTTGAGCTGGGGGCGCCAAGGCGCGCCTTTTGCAAGCCCTCCAGGGCGCGCCCACTGGTGGGGGCGCCAGGGCGCCGCTGTTTGGTTTTTTGGGACTAAATATGGCGGAAATAAGGATCTTTCCTGTTTTTTGGGTTTTTTTTTCTTACATTCCTTGTCAATAAGACACAAAAAAAATTATCAGTCTCAATCAATGGGGAGCCAAACATCCATAGGGTCTCAGCCACCATCAATATCTTCAGTTGGCTGGGCTACTTACTCAGGGTTTTGGTCCCTGGGCCCTAGGCCCATAGTACTGCTGGGAGGGCGCGCCTGGGGGGGTTTTTGGGCATTTAGGCGCGCCCCCCCGTCGCACCCCGTCGCCTCGGGGTGTGACAGCGCCCAGGGCGCGCCCCTTGACTGGCGCCGCCAACCCTAATCAAGGGACTTGTCGGTTTTTTGGTAGATCAAAGTTTGGCGGAAGTATCTGAGAGATTCAGATACTCAGATATTCAGCCAAACCCCGCCAGTTACAGCAGACCCATAAACCCTTGCGACTTTCCCCCCCCCCAAAAAAAAATGGTTGGCCAAAAAAAATTTCTGTGAGATTCTTCAATGCAGCTGTCACAATTGAACAGGCAGGTGCATACTTGTATGTGATGAATCTCGACCCACCCAGCTTCGGCTCCAACACACAAGAATCGAAGACCGACTCTTAATATTATCTGGTCAGGCCGGTATGTTTCTCATTGCATTTCTCTGTTTAGAAAATAGACTGCTGATGGGTGATGTTTCTCAACATTTCAAAGAAAATGCCATTCGTTGACTACCCTGCAGCATACAAGTTCTCAGTTGTTAAGTCCTCACTCGATGGCTGTAGCTTAGACGATATCAACGATCTGTATGGCACCCTAGTCAGCTCTGATTCACTTCGACGCTGGAAGAAGTTGTATGAAGATACTCGGTCTGTCGTATGCGATCCATCTACCTATTGCAGAACCGGTCGCCCAATCACTTTAACATCCCAGGAAAGTCGATTCATTCTGGAACTCGTAACCTCACAGCCAACAATCTATCTATCTGAAATCCAGGAATTGCTTCTTCAAGAACAGAACATCAGCCTCTCTACGCAGGCAATTTCCAACGAACTCCACAAGCGACTGTTCATGTCTCAAAAGACAATGCAGACAGTGAACCCAAGACAGGATTTAACGAGGCGAGGTCCTATGTTGGTATGGTAGCGTATCACAGCCCGGAATCTTTGGTCTTCACTGGTAAGAGGCCGATCCATTTGAACCTCAGTCATTGTGTGTAAGATGACTGACATGAAGGAGGTTTGATAGATGAGTGTGGGATTTGTAGCGATGGGGTACGACGAACCAAGGGATGGGCCCCAATTGGCGAAAGGACCTCGCGAGCTCCCGTCTCTCGGGCAACTCATCGATTCAATGTAATTCCTGCAGTGTCGATGGACGGACTTGTCACTGTCTTGGTTCAACAAGAAACTGTGTGCCGAAATACCTATGAGTTCTACTTGGAGCATATTTTGGTGAGCTTAAATTTCTTATTGCTATCGGGGTTTCAGCTGCTAAATTGCACCTCAAACAGCTGCCGATGATGAATCCCTTCCCTGGACCTCGGAGCGTGTTGGTATTGGATAACGCTTCTTTCCATCACAATGGGCGGATCGTTCAGTTGGTTGAGGCCCGAGGTTGCCGGTTGCTTTACCTCCCCCCCTACTCCCCAGACATGAATCCTATCGAGAAAGGATTTAGCATACTCAAATCTTCCTTGCGACGTGATGGTCACCTAGATGGTGGCATTAATGATGGTGCCACAATCGAGAATCATGTGAATTACGTCTTTACTGCGGGCTTGATGAAAAAGCTCTTTAGAGGCTGTGGCTACATCGATTGAGGAGATGTCATTAGCTATTTGTATTGTTGATCGATTGCTTCTCTTTTTTTTTTTGGAATTGTGGATCGTTTTGTTTTTCTCATAAGTTAAATTGAGTCACAATCGATCTTTGTCAATGCCGATCTTAATACTAAAGGATTTGACAAAAAAGACAGCAGGACTGTTGCTTGTTCAATTCTGTTTGATGAAAGCAAAACCAAACTAAAAAATCAAATAAGAACTTGATTGATTGGTTTTGGATCGATCTTTTAAGAATTTCAAACAATGACAAACAGGGCCTTTTATTGCATGTTGGATATTCTAATAGCAAAAATAACAAGTCGGTGATGGGTGCAGTATAAAAGCATAAAGAAAAAACTGATTCATTGTTTTGAGATTGATCTTTTGGGAAGTCGAAAGAATAACTAATCATGTATGATAAAAGCCAAAAAAAAAACAAGTCAATCGATTGTGTATGAATAACTAATCATGTATGATAAAAGTCAAAAGAAGAAGTAGATCGATTGTGTATGATGATAAAATCAAGAAGAACAAGTCGATCGATGTGGGTTGTAAGAGATAAGAGCAGGCTCGATCGATTGTGTTCGGACCCGATCAGTTTTGTGAAATATTCGTACGAGATTGCTTTTTCAAGTGTTTGGAGTACCTCTTGACGGCTTCGGCAAGCATTCTTGCTGGACCCATCGGGACTCCAGCAGCAATGAGTTCCTCAGAAGTAACCAATTGGAACATCTTCCAGTGGGTCATACCCAACTTGGCTAATCCGTCACGAATGGCCACACTATCGAGATCGACCCGAGAAAACTTGAGGAAGACATCAATGGGATCCTCGTCATCCGATGGTGCTGGAGAAGACTTGATGCGAGTGTTGTTTGGAACACTTGTCGAAGCCGAACTGACCCCGGTGATATTGATCGCGTTTGATACATGACTAGCATGGGCAGCCAGGCATTGCTGGTTCAATGCCCCATGGGCCGAGCATTGACCTGCATTTGCATGGTGAATTGACGGCCCACTGCTGTTATGAGAACAACATTGGTGACGAGTCTCAGGAGCAGGTAAGTTTCGTTGGGCAGGTTGGTCGTGATCGTCAAGAAAACCGGTTCTATAATCAAACGCAGGGGTCTTTGGAGGTGTGCGCAGATCAACAACGTTAGGGGTTGCATTCTGTAGTATGAAAAGTGTCAGTAACCAGTAAATAAATGGATACTCAATCCGATTCAGGCAACTTACAATGGCCTTTGCCCAGAGGTCGGCGCGGGACATGGTGACAACAAAGTACTGATCGCCTTGTTCAGGATTAATGAAGATTGACTTATCGGAGCTACCTGATAATCGAGGGCAAGGCGAGTGAGTTGCAAGTATCTGCCCAATGAGTCCGTTAATTATTGCTCAATCGTTAGCCGCAGTTGATGGGACAAATGGTGCCTCTTTTTGGACCGGATTCATCTTCTGTTTCAAAGAACGCAATACTATTTCACGCTGTAAAGAATGATATCAGTTAAATACAGATAAATTGAAATGATCATATGTACTAACATCAGCCTCTGCTTTGGGATCCAATTGCTCAACTTTACAGACCAGCTTTCGAGTCTCCTCAAAAGGCACACAAGCAGTAAGCCAGTCCTGGAACACGCCTGGTTTATCTAACTGTTGGTTCCCGGTAGCCTTAAATCTCGAATCATGGAGGATAATTCCATACCAGGTGAGGTCCTTTTCGTTGGCTTCACGCTTTTCGACAAATGCGGCGAGGTCCTTGTCCTCGCCAAAGATTTCGTCGATGACAGCATTCTTAAATTTTGGGACATCGTAGTTGGCAAGATCCCAACGAATTGAAAGTTTACCGGGCACTGAGTTTATCGGTTTTGTCTTAGGAATCTCGATTCCAGAGGGTTTCCTTTTGTGTGATTTCGAGGGAGACGGATTTGACCAGGGTAGGTGGAAACGATACTCAATCAAGAAGGTCCGGTCCACTTTCTTAGGCTCGGTATCAATGTCGATGGGATTGGAGAGGCGAGTTGATGTTGAGGCAATATCTCTGGTGGGTCGAAGAAGTTCAATCTCATCCTCTGGGCCCGACTGCCCAAAATTCTCGTAGCAAACCGTAGGTTGATTTGAACGAATATCCAAAATGGTCCTGTTTTGTCTTGGGTTGGTGCAATCTGATCCAGCCAATGCCCTGGAGTTGTCCCAGTGGTAGAGTTCGTAAAGGGTTGGCTAGGGGTGGCCCCGTTGGTAGAAGTTCTAAAGGGTTGGGCAGGCGATGTCCGGGTTGTAGAAGAAGTCGTAAAGGGTTGGCCAGGATTCATGTACATATGCCTAAACACTTGGGCTGCTCTGAGCTGGGCTTCTGCATCCAATTGGTTGCTTTGATCTCTAGGATAGGTTTGATGAACTGAAGAGGGTCTGGTCCAGTAGGCAACTGGATTATTTGGACCTACGGGAAAGTACCGACAAATGGTGCCATCGCAGGCCCGGACATTATAGCTGCCGTCTGCTGCAGTTTCAGGGTCAAGTTGATGGAGCTCAGGCGACTCCTCCAATACATTATCTAACCAGTTCATACCTGCGTAAGCTGGTTGGCCCTCTGGCGAGTCGTGTAAGATGTCGTCCAAACGCATTCTTGGGGTGGTTTGGGGAGGGGGAGGAATGAAGCAGGAAGGCTCAATATCTCTCAATGAGATGCAAATTCTGTCAAACGAGCAGCCATTGAAATGCAGCTTCCTTGACAGCTGCATTGAAGAATCTCACAGAAATTTTTTTTGGCCGACCATTTTTTTTTTTTGGGGGGGGGAAAGAGGGGAAAGTCGCAAGGGTTTATGGGTCTGCTGTACCACCTGAGGACCCCGGGATGTTGCGCTTGTGAGGGGGTCTTTAGGGTGGTTTTAGCTAGGGTTCACAGGTGTGCCAGGGTCCTGTCGGAGCAAATGTATTATTTTTCTGTGCTTCGAAAGATTAAGGGAAGATGAATGATGTATTCTCCTGTCCATTCAATATACAAGGCGCTTCCATTGTCAAAATCAGTCTGTCTTCACACCGGGAACCTCTCAGCCGAATGTCTCATCTTTCTTGGGTGTATATGTGATTGAAGGGTATGTACAATTAGAGAGACGCCGAGCTCACTGAACGTTTGCGCGCTTGCCCTATGCTTGCTGGCAATTTGCAAAACCTTCAAGGCTGCCAATTCGCAAGCACGGGTAAGACATTCAAATGAGCTTCATTTTCACTTTTTGTACAGTGAGAACTCTTGCGTTGCCTACTCATGTCAACATGTGACACAAAAGTAGGCGGTGCCAATTGAAGCTTAAAGACAGAAAGTGACAACTCGTCCTACCATCGGTCACTTGCTTGGATTCTAGACAGTCGTATTTAATGAGCCGCCTGTCCGTCGCCGAACCCCCCCAGAACTGATCCACCTAGTGCAACGTCCACTGCCTTCCCTCTCCTTGAATCCCCACTAGACCTTCATTTTAACACTCTGCCCAACGGCATTTCCAGCAACCACCAAAGCAGTACTGTACGTATTAATAACTTTGACTGTCCCAAAGGACGCCCATGCCACAGGCTATAACTGACCTCACGTGCTGCTGGCCTGCTTGGATCACTTCTCTCACTCAAAGCTAATTGAATCCCACTTTCCGGACGCGAAAATGTTCAAACCAGCGTTCATTCTTCTTGTTTTGGCCTTAGCCCACTGTGAGCCTTTCATCAGTTCGGTTCTTGCTTGCGACCGTAGCTTTGTTCTGACTTGCCAACCGTCTACCCACTCGTTTTTCTTCCAGCTGGCCTAGCTGTTCCTCTCCCACACAGCAGTGATGGCGCCTATAGCACCCCAGGCGTGCCCACTGCGACAACTCCCTCTGCGTCGGCGGTCAGCCCCGACAGCAAACCTGCTCCTACAACTCCCCCACCTTCTACCCCACCTTCCGGTTCTGCAGTCAGCCCCAGCAGTCAGACTGCTCCTGCCACTCCCCCTCCAACTAAGGACAACTACAGCAACCCCTCTTCTGGGGTCTCACCCTCACCAGGTGGCACCGCCGTCAGCCCCAGCGACAAACCCGCACCACAAACTACTCCTGGTCAGGGTGCCGGCGCCCTTCCATCCAAAGACAACTACAGTAACGCCTCCACTGGTGTCTCAGCTCCACCCAGTGGCACGGCCGTCAGCCCCACCGACAAACCCGCCCCACAAACCACATCAAGCGGCAACCCGACAACGGCTGGTGCAGTTGGTACCACCCCCACAACAAATGGACCCACTGGTGGTGGTCCAGCTGTTACTGGCGGTGCCCCCGGTGGAATAGCTGGTGGTGGTCCAAGTGCAGTGACGGCTGGTGCTCCCGGCGGATTCTCTGGTGGTCCTCGAGGTTCCGGAGGCATTGGCGGCCCGCGTGGACCGGTTGGTACTGGTTTCGGTGCCGGTGTTCCCGGCAATGGCTTCGCTGCCGGTGTTCCCGGTAATGGTTTTGTTGGCGGTGCCCCCGGCACTGGTTTCGTTGGCGGTGCTCCCGGGGGTGGTGTCTTTGCCGCACGACCCGGAGGTGGATTTGCAAGTGGATTCCCAGCAACCGGCACCATGGGAGCTGCTCCTTTTGTAGGCGGAGGCGGGCTTCCATTCAGTGGCTCAAGCGTAGGCCCAATTGGCGGCGGTGCGATGATAACCGGTGGAGCTCCCTTCGGCGGCTCGGTCGGCGGCTTCGGCGGATGCGGCGGCGGATGCGGCGGTGGCTCATTCAACAGACTCGGAGGCGGCATGGGATTTGGTGTCAACAGCCGCTTCGGAGGTGGCATGGCCACCAGCATGGGTGTTGCTGGTGGAATGGGTGGCGGCATGATCGGTGGTGGTGGTTCCGTCGTATCCTCCCATCAAGAATCCGACCAAAAGAGCAGTTCATCCAGCGGCGGAATGTCAGTCGGCCCCATGGGAAGTTCAGGTTTCTCGGAAAGCGCCAGCAACGAAGCTCACACCCGAAACGACTTCAACTCGGTCAACGGCGGATTCCGTCATTGAGTTTCTTCAATCTCTCCTCCCTCTGAAAGACTCATAGCCGCCGGTCCATTTTTGTATTTCATGTTTTCATCGTCTCCTCTTAACGCTCGTCTTTCCTCGCGATTTCCTCTCTCCAAATAATTCATTCATAATTCACTTTCCTTGCCCATCAGCTTGTTGTGTTTCATGTCCCATCCTGTGCTCATTCTCGAGCAGAAACTGAGTGTGAGACATCATTGTCCATTTGTTAGTTAAACCCAACATCCCGTGATAAATCGAGACCCTACAAAGTCTCATGTTGTCTCTTCCTCATAATCCGGTCCTTACCTTAACTTGAGATGAGTTGCATGCAGCGTGTCAGAGAGAACTACTCTCCTGTGTTGCGAGGTACCTCAAGCTACCAGGCCGCAGACAAGCTTCGGTGAAGCCGGATGGGGGACCAAGTCAGAACCGACCTCGTGTCCAATGTGTAGTGCCACTGCCAGCTGGGCTCCAGGCCATCATTTTAAAATCTATGTATTCCTTGTCTTGATACATTGCAAATGGCGTTTTTAAGAAGTTTCCTTGTCCTCGACTTCTTGTAATTGCTCCTAGTTGATCATGTTGGTAGACACTTACTTGTCTTTCTTGATCATCTTTTCCGAATTTCTAGTTGTTTTTACTACTTGTCCTATGGTTGTCTGTCCTAAGAAATGAAAGCACCATTTTGAAGTTCGTTATGTTTGAGATTTTGTGTCATAAAGGACACTCCATGTACTGCTTCTTGCAAACCGTTTAAACATACAATTGTTTTCCTTTATATAAGGCCACGTATTTTGGAATGAGTGAGGGAGCAAGGGAGAGTAAAACGCACCAAAACATTTTTGAGTGCTGCAATATTTTGAGGAAATGGTACAACCCGACGGCCCCATCAAGCGACTTCATGCAGACAGGTGTGTCGTGAGCGTGTCGCATTGCGTTCTTTTTTATTGTGCTTATTGTTCAGTTTTCAGGAGCACAGCGGGCGGGTCAACTGCGTGCCTGATGAATGAGGCGTAGAATGCATCCTATTTTTGGAAGAGGGAGACACGGTCACTAATAACTCGCATCCGCATGTAGTTCCGGTGGCCGCAAAAAGAGAAAAGAAAATGAGGTATCCAGTCAACTCGTATCAATATCAAGGCTTTTTCTGACCAATCTAGTTTCATGAAGAACAAATTTAATGCGCATGAATGAATTTCGTGTTCAACAAAATACAGAAAGACAAAGTAAAAACTGAGGATGAGATTTGAAAGTGAAACAAGGTGAGGATTCCGAAGAGCTGATACAGTAAAGATGAGGATAGTCAATAAATTATGAATGGATGCTTGACTGCGAGGTAGATAGAGCACATGATCCAATCATTTTTTCTTCAAGAGGCGTTTACCCAGCGAGCTTTTGAGCAATTCATTTGCCTTGAAGCTACTCCTGACAAGCGGTCCACTAGCAACGTACAGAAAGCCCATCTGTTCGGCGACTGTCTTCCAATACTCGAATTTGGCCGGAGTGATGTAGCTTTCGACCTTCATGTGTCGCTTGGTCGGGCGCATGTATTGGCCAAAGGTCACCACGTCAACCGAGTTCTTCCTCAACTCTGACGCAATCAAGTCCAAGTAATTAATTTTATTGTGTCTATTGTTTCATGAACTCTGGAAAGCGGATGATCAGACAAACCTTTAAGTGTCATGACCACCTCGTCATCCTCTTCTCCAACGCCCAACATCAAGCTAGTCTTGGTGATCAAGCCTGCCGGGCCAGTCTCCTTCGCCCATCTCAGAGTGTCCAAAGATTGGTGGAAGTGTGCGCGTCGGTCCCGGACAGAGGGCGTGAGCCGTTCGACAGTCTCCATGTTGTGGGCAAAGACATCCAGGCCCGAGTTTGCCACACATGAGGTCGAGGCCCGTTGGTTGGGGCCAGCAAAGTCGGGCGTCAAGGCTTCGAGCAGAATGTGAGGCGCTCTAATACCAACCATTTTGAGATGGGTGATGAGGTTGAGAGGTTAACTAGTCAACTTTGGACAGATGCTCAAATCAGATCTACGTACTTCGCCTTAACCTGTTGGATAGTTTTTGCGATATGCGAGGCACCTCCATCCGGTAAATCTATAAACCAAAGCATGTCCAATCAGATTTAAGTCTTGAGTTGCAAGTTCAAGGCGGGAAGAAGAAAGATAAAAACAAACCATCTCTATCGACACTTGTCATGACGATATATCCGACACCCCACTTGCTGATGGCTTCTGCGGTACGTTCTGGCTCATGAGGGTCGAGTGGAGGAGGGCGATTGGAAGTTTTGATTGCGCAGAACCTACAAGCCCTTGTACAGGTATCACCCATGAGCTGAACATGCCAAGCAAAAAAGTCAGAATAGATACAGAAACAGTTGTCTCTTTAAAAGCAACCGACCATGATGGTAGCCGTCGCTTCTCCCTTGTCGCCGCCCCAACATTGCCCTATATTCGGACATCGAGCCTCTTCGCAAACGGTATGTAAGCCCAGTCCACGAAGGTCTTTCTTGATTGAATTGAACGAAGCCGAGGTTGGGATATCGGTCTTCAAGAACCTCGGAAGGCGTTTGGTCGGAGTGAGTGAGCCGACCAGGTCCGAGGAGTTGACGCTAATGTCCTGGGCTCCGGCGGAAACGAAGTCATGGAAGGTCAGGCCATCGTTCTTGATGGCCTCTCGGACCGAGTTCAGGGATGAAGAAGATTCCGACGAGGCAAAGCGAGAGCTGAGGTTCAGATGTTGTGGAAGTATCGAGACCTGGGTGCATCATCGCCAATCAATTTGTCTGAGTATCAGTTTTTATATTTTTGAAACTCATCTCTGGAATGAATGAGAGATGATGACTAACCCTTTTGAGTAAGTGTCTTGAGCTCGACATGGCGTGGTGAATGAGCGTATGCCTGTTGGATGTGGGTGATGATGATAACGATAAGCTTGGATTCGATGGGGAGAGCAGTGATTGTTGGAAGAACTCCGACTGGCAGCATACAGCCCACTCACTCGGTCTGGACGGGCGGGCCGTGGTGGGCCAGGGTAGCCTCGAGATCGAGCCGATCGACCCCCAATCAATCATCCCTTTGTCTCTCAACTGACACCTCCCAATGGAAACGAGACAGAGGATGTTCGGTTCAACTAGTCAATTCATCGACGCACCCGAACTTGATGCAGCAGGAGAAAAGCAACAGCTCCGGGACCAAGCTGGTATGCCTATATCTATTATTTAGCTTTCCTTCAAACCCGTCAATCCAGAGATTAAACTGACTTCCATAAATCTCTAGAATTGGTCATCCAGGGCTTCGATCGTCTGGCTGAGCACAAGCTAGGTTGGTCCAGCGAAGTAGCAACAGATCTCTCAATCGGCCGATTACGCGCGAAGGAAGGTCTCTTGACTCGGTTGCATTCCAGCTTTCTACCCACACTCCAACACCAGATTATCAGCCTTTCACGCGCGCTCGACCCATCCGATTTACGGAAAGACCCAGCCGCGAACCTGACACTCATCTTGAATATTCAAGCAGGACTGGATAGCACGTTGGATCAGATTGTTCGAACCCTTGACGACCTCATGCCCGGAAAAGTGCCCAAACCAAGCCAAGCAAATGACCATCACTACGGTGCATTGAAATTCTATAGACTCCACGGTCTGGATCAGTCTATCCGAGCAGAATTGAGGATTCAGCTCCTGCTTTTTTATAGCGAGTCCTCCACGATTATCAAAGAAGTACTCCAGCTCACAACATACTCGCATGCTTTTTCTAGCGCTCTGGAAAAGTCGATCGATTCAGCTATCAAATGGATAACGGGATCCGACTTGAATCTTATTTGGGATGCTTGGAAAATGGGAATACAAACACTAGATATGGGATGGGATGACCTATTAGACTTGTCCCGTCCAATACCAATCGGAGGAGGGGGTCAAAGGCGTCGCCAGTCAGCCATACAACTCACTCGGTCGACCATACCAATCCTCAAACTATCAAAGCTATTTTTTCAAAAATTATCAAGAGAGTTGAAGAAGAGAGATCTGCCATTATTTACAGAGATGTCTTCTCAACAACTGGAAGTGTTAGATAAGTCTGCCGAAACGATCAATCATGCGGTTTCTGATTTGTTGTGCCCCCTGGACGAAGCTGATGAATCTCCCCGAGCCGATACTACTCGTCGTTTAATTCAAGCAATTGAGCAGATCTCTAGTCGGTTTCAAGGCTATGTACTTCTTGTAGTCCTCTATGTGATCCCATTGTTTCCAGACCTCCATGACGTCTCCTCTCGAATATATTTTAGCAATTGGTTCATTACTTGGAACATTCTGCTCTTTTCAACTACCGATAATGCCATCAAAGCTGCCCGGCTCTTTGAACGAGATCATCCATGAGATTTTTTTATTTGCCTTCTCCCCTTCAGCTTGATCCATCTTGACACATTGAAAGAACGTGTGCTACTGAAAATCTGATAATATGTAGTACTGCCAGTCCCCTTCCTTTGTGGTCAATGAGAAATGAGTCTGCTTTTCACAAAGTAGAGATTGCTCGAAGCTGGAGTCAATACTTGTTCTTTGAATTCCCTTGGGAGTTCTCAGTGGCTTTTGCCTTGGGATCAGTCAAGAAGCCGCATGTGGAATGTGAAATACGCAGGAAGTCTCTTCAATGCAAGAACAACAAGGTGGTGTTTTGAGAAAAATGGTCCTGTTGTGTGGAATTAATTTTTAGTGATCTGCAAGTTTCCACTGGATGCTAGCAGAATTGAAAAGAAAGAGGCATGTTGTAACTCAAAATGCACCGAACTTAACACAAGTCACCTTTCCCTGCAGAGTGGCCTCGCCCCTGTCGCATTGCGCCGACCGCACGCCGACCGCAGGGAGGCAGAGACCCTGCGGGGCTGCCCTCCGGGCTCTCACTCGAGAGGCTTGTGTTAGGCTCGAAGATGCACGTGAGGGGAGCTCATTTGTCTGAAAATTATTTTGGATGGTAGCATACATATGGTTCTTGGCTCCAAGCAAGCTGGCTTGTGATGCCATTGTTTCCCTCTCGAGTTTCTATCTCTGGATGAAGGGGATGCAGATTGCAAGGATTACTTTCGTGACATGAAAATTCGTCCAACCCCGGGCCCCACATAGGAAAGAAATTCCATCTCACCGCATCTCACCATTTCCCTCTTGTCCCGTTATTCCCCGACTCCGAGGGCGACTCCTCTCATTTCTACCTTTATTCATTGATTTGGCACTTAGAATATGTACTCTGTTCATTGCAGCCACCAATGGTGCGATCCAAGCTGCCGACTTCTTCACACTAAATCGTCCATGACATCACGCCCCCTGCTCTATCTATTTTCTTGTTGCGCGACTTTTAAAGAACAATTTCAAAAGAAAAAATAGATCAACTGTTTCTGTTCTGTTCTCTCAATTGGTAGACTTTTCTCAAGAAGTTGTACAACCAGAAACTGCTTGGCGAGGTTCAGCGGATCCTAATTATGAGCGGGTCTCATGTTTGGAGCATATCGTCACAAAGCTGCTGGCTACATGCGCTGACTGCAAGCCGCAGAGATGTTGGTGGGCGTACGGCGGCAAGATGGCATTGGGATCACGTCTGATCACGTACGTGTTATTCCCAAAAAGGCAATGCCACTGTCACTTTGTCAAACTACTAATAGAAGAACTCACTTTACACCCAGGAAAATTCTGGAGGCGCTTAGATAGAACACAACAGTCACTCACACACAGGCTAAGTGATGTCTGGGGCAATTGAAAGATGTGAAGCAGGTGATCAGTTTCACTGACACATGGGATGATGAGAGGAGAAATGTATTAATTGTGAAAGTGGATAGTCAAAGATGGACGCTACGAAAGCATGAAGGAGAGAAACGCAAGATCGAAAGGAGTAGGTACGTTAAAGGTAGTATAAACAAAGAGAGACAACTAGTAGTATCCGGCGTTGTAAGAGTTGCTGTCGCTGCGGAAGTGGGCTGCATTGGAATTGGATTGGGAGTAGCCTCCGTTACCCATGTATCCCATTCCGTCCATCCCTACAGCGTTGTTGGATGAACTGGAGTATTCGGAGGACTCGTGGTGGGTTGAGCTTTCTTGGATGGACACCCCGCTGGCACCGATGCCACCAAACGCATTTCCGCCATAGATGTATCCACCGGCGTTGGCCGCATTGAAACCGTAACTTCCGGGAAAGTAGGCACCACCGATCCCACCTGTCATGGGGCCAGAGACACCGCCGATTGCCACCCCGCCGTTACCTGGTCCAACGACAACACCGGATGGGTCTGCACCGATGATGGGTCCACCGGCCCTTGCTCCTGGGTACGCACTGCCGGGCAAAGCTGTACCAGTTGTACCAGGGCACGCGTTTCCGGGACGGACGGCTCCGTTTACACAAGGTCCAGTGACCGGAGTAGCTGCGGAGGCAGTGACTGGACTGCCGTTGGGACCGCCGAGAGCGTGAGTGTCTGGTGCACCACCGACATGAGAAGTTGGAGAAGCAATGGTGCCGTTGGTCGGAGTGTTGGTGACTGCTCCAGGAGCTTTCGATGTAGGTGACGAAGCGACTGGGGCTGATGCTTGGCTGTACTTCTCAGCAGGTTTGCTGGTAGGGCTGACGACTGATGCAGCTGGTGACGAAGGCGTCTCACGGGCTGGGCCCGACGACTTGCTGTAGTCACTCTTGGGAGGTTTGCCAGTGGCGCTCACGACCGACGCGTCCGGAGATGGGGCAACACTGGAGGGTGGGGCAGACGCGTCGCTGTAGCTGCTCTTCGGAGGTTTGTCGGTAGCGCTTACAGCCGTCCCCTCAGCTGGAGGCATGCTGGGAACTGAGTCAGATGGGGTGCTGTATTCGCTCTTCGTAGGCTTGGGTTTGCCGGAAGGGCTGACGACTGACGCGTCTGATGATGGAGGCATCTTGGGGACCGAGGCAGATGGGGTGCTGTATTCGCTCTTGGAAGGTTTGGGTTTTCCGGAAGGGCTGACAACCGATGCGTCCGGGGATGGGGGCGGGACAATGGCTTGGGAAGTCGAGTTGTTGGCGCCAGAGAGAGGCGGGCTCACAGGAGCAGTTTGGTTAGTAGGGCTGACGGCTGACCCAAGAGGAGTTGGGGTCGTGACGGCTGGAGTGGAGGGAACGGAGCTCGGAGTGCTGTAGCTGTCCTCGCCCCCGTGGGGGAAAGGAGCAGTAAGGCCATCTGCTCGTCAGAAGTAACAGAATGTATGAGACAGCTTTCCGGCACATCGGAGGCCAATTCTGAGCAATCACTCACTGTTGGCTAAAGCCAAAACAAGGACGATGAAAGCTGGTTTAAACATCTTGAATGGTGTGTGGTGACGATGAGGATGCTGCGTGAAGGCAATATAAGTCACTTGCGAGGTGGGGTAACAATGTGCAGCAGCAAGATGGGACTCACGGGTGGAGAGAATTCAATGATTCAATAAATAGTGCTGCAGAGTGCTGAAATGAGGGACAACTGTAGGATTCACGGAAGTGGTGACTGCTGAGGCGAGTTTTGGATGACCACTCAGGCGACAGGGCGGCTGCTTATATGTACGAGGGCGTTGGAAAAACCATTGCAAGTTGCCAGCGGCAGGAGAGTTCGGCGTTTACTGTCTCGGAGCGTCGATCGCGACTGCCTGATTTGCTTTGGCAACCTGACATGTCCAACAATTTTTCGGATAATGTATACGTATCCCACGTGCATGTTTCACAAAAGCGCAAGGCGTGGAATCCTGCGGTGCCTAATCCAACGATCAACCAACTGGCTGCCGCCCGCTTCCGACACATAGGAGATGCTTTTTTCTGTTCGGCAAACGTCACCCGGAGCTCGAATTCGGCGGTGGTGATGCTTAAGCTCTCCGCACTCATGTATGGTTTGGTGGGGCGAAAGTCATTGGCTAATGGCCCCCACGTCGATCGCGTTCATCTTCAATCCTAATCCGATCATACGCAGTGGTTAGGTTCTTGTGGCTGTTGTGCTGGAGGTTAGAAAGCGGATGATGAGGCAAACCTTTTTTAGAGTTATGACCACTTCGACATCCTACGTACTCACGCCGAACATCGCGGGGGTCTTCCTAATCAGAATGGCCGTCGGGGTTCCATTCTCCTGTCTGGCAGAGCTGGCCAAAGATTGGCGAGCTGGAGAGTTCAGTTGCCAAACATCGCGCCTCCGTTCCGGATCGCCTTTACGAACAGAGTTAACGACGAAGAACAGTCCGATCAGGCAATTTGACAGCTCATGAAGTTCACATCGTGTCGAAGAGGTATCAAAGACCTGGTGAGAGGGATATCAATTACTTTGTCAGTTTGTTTCTTCCGTGTTTTGATACATATTTGTCCTTGAGCATGAGATTACGACTCACTCTTTTGTGTATGAGTTTCAGCTTGGCTTGGGATATAGGCAGTTGATGTGGACAAAGGCGTGAACGTCCGTCGCGCTTAGCACTAGCAAAGCTGTGTGTGGGCGGGCCTGGGCGGAAGAAGCCCGGGGATGAGCAAGTAACTGAATGGTGATTCACCATTTCCAATTGAACAAATAATTTTCGGTGATCCGTCAATGAGCCCAAGCCATCTCTTTCTTGATCAAATTTTGGCCTGTGTTCATAACGAAAGAGCGAGATCCTGAACCGTCCAATTCTGGCTCTTTGTCATCATCCATCAAAGGGCAGAAACAACTCAGTTGTGCATACATTGAAATATCTTCATAGGTCTTCATAGAATGAAAATACAAATAATCTCGGATGCAATTCTCATGTCTCAATTAGTAACAGAAGCTACAGATTGCAGTTGGAGTTTACTCATGTTGTTATGTATCACCCCGATGCACGGATGAGGCTGCTGTCCTCAATTTTGGACAACAGGCTTCAAGTTCTGCTGACTCTGCTGTCATATTCGCTGAGAAAATTGGACATCGTGTATCTGGTATCATTACGGTGAACACCTTACCAGCCATCTGAGAAGGAAGAGGCACTTTATCCAACCGATGCTTTGAATGAATAAGCACCAAGTTAAGTCACATCAACGATCCTTAGTAATTTTTCAGGTTCAACTCTTCAAAATAAGTATTACAGTGTGGGGCGCAGACACTGTGTAGTTGATCCAAAAAAATGACTACTGAAGGGAATGAAAAGCAAAGACCCATCCATTGTTTGTGATGATAAAATTCCCAGACGAGTTAGTTTGGCCCATTTTGGGGGTTCTTGCCGTCGAGGTTAAGACTGTGGCAAGGGAAAGATAAAATGCAATGAATTCGAGGTGAGAATTTGGAGAGTATTCAACTAAGCATTGTACATAGTTCAACTTACAAGTCCCAAGTCATCCCACCATAGAGGAGTCCATCTTTCTTTTCTTTCGCAGTGGGCTTGAACTCGTCGAAGAGCTTTCCAAAATGAGAATTCAGAAAAAGTTGATACTTATGCGGTTGCTACTGGCCGTAGAAAAATGTGAATTACCTTTGTGGTAAGTGCAATTTCGAAGCATCCAGGATTGGTTAAGGTTGTGTTGAAACTGCAACCTAAAAGAAGATAGCCAATCACGTTCTCTGTGAGGGTTTGGCAAAATTTATAAAGATCATTCTATAATAGAAATACGCACCATCGAGCACCTTGACATACTTGACCGTCGAGGGATCGCCTTTCCTTTGGACATATCTAAACTCGAAAGTAGTTGCAATTGGTTGTTTAGTAGCCAATAGCCGGAATTACAATTTTCAAAAAAAAATAAAGTATCTCACACTGTCTTTCCGCAATTCGACTTCGCCACGCTATAGAACGGCGGAATTGTGAGCTAAACGTCGCTGTGGACTGATGGTCAGGTTTGGAGCACTTGGACTTACCCGTTAAGCCACCCAGCCGATTCCGCTGTCGGCGCTTTTTGCTCGGCTCCGCTCCAGAGACACACACCGAGGTCCGTGGCAGAGTTATAATTGTCACAGGCCTGACAATTTGATGCACTACATCAGACTCACCGGGAGCGCGGAGTTGGTTAGATATCAGATGGAAAAGGAACGTACACCTTTACCACCGGCGACCGAAAAGCTCTACAGAAAAAAAAACTGCTATCAGCAGTTTATATATCGAGAGTCCAAGAAGAACCACAGACAAACCGGATTGTTATCATCGTAGCGGCGTTGCAAGGAGTGGCCATCATTGGGCTTGGCCTTTGGTGGACCGTAGTTAAACTGCGAGACAGTCATCATGAAGACATTGATTAGGATCTTTTCGGGCAGCAATTTCTGACCATCAAAACCACCAGATGACTCACCCGATGCACTGGATCAGTGTGGTCTTTGGTGGGAGCTGGGCATCTTTGGCTCGTTGCAGGCGAAGAAAAAACACATCCGTCTTTTTTCAAGAAATAGTCGTAACAAGTAGTATGATAGGTGGCCAGGATAGCTTGGGATGCCAAAGCAAGGAAGACAGCGATGATAGCAGAGTTCATTTTAGACTAGGTTTATTGCTAAGTTGCTAATTGTTTTTGCTGCAGGATTTGGGCTGGTGGCTAATAGTAATCAGGTCGGCGAAATGACTCCATATTTATACCTTTTCAAGCTCCCCTTGGATAGTTGAACACGGCCTGAACAAGGACAGCCGCCAGCGAGAGTGGATAAAGCTGAGCTGTCCTGAGCTGTCTCTTGGGCTCTTTGACTGTCAATATTTCTCAAGATCTCTGATAAAGCCTGATATATAAAGCCAATAATGTTTGACATCTAGGTGCTTCTTCAAACTTGATCATCAGATTTGCAATTGGCATTCAAACCACCCGTGGTGGCGTACGTGACGGGACCACGGGCTCGCTTGGCCGGCTTTAGGATAGAGGTATGCCACCTACCCATGGGTGAATATCTTGATCCTGGCCAATATTTACATAGCCTTACCAAGGCCTCATGCTAAACCTGCCGAGTAGCCAATCTGCACATGTGACCTCAACCCACTGGACCAGATATCAACACGCAGTAAGTCAAGAGGGGGACATCTTTAAGCATGTCATGTAACTTAAAATGGAAGCTCATCTGTTTGAAAACTATTTTGGATGGCAGCATATGGTTCTTGGCCCCAAGCAAGCTGGCTTGTGATGCCATTGTTACCCCCCTGGGGAGTAAAGAATGTGGCTGCGCACCCGGGTGCCGAACCCGTATTCACCAACAAAACAGGCACCTGTACCCGTACCCCGCACCTGATGGCGTGTACCGCGGGTGTACCGGTGGTATACCCGCGTGAATTATTCAATCTTTCTCACTTCAGAGGCTCGCAGTGGTGCCATAAAAAATAAAAAAAATGTATTTCATTTAAATGCACCCCTTAAGCTAATTCAATTACAGCAGTTCCCAGAAAGCTTGCTGTTGCGAGCCCCTGGGATCCAGTTTTTTTTTGTGCCACACTTTTTCTTTTATTTTTTGTCCTGTATGTGGGCTCATATAGCCACAGTATTCTAGGCATTATGGCCCAACTCCCACATTATTCAAGTTGAAGATTTGGGAGTTGGACCATTGGAATACTGGCAGTTATTTGAGCTGCAACCGGTCCTCACATTGGTGCCTCACCACCCCTTGCTAGGCACCAGCCTAGTGCCCGGAGCCCGATCAAGGCCTCGGCAGCAGATTTGCAACCTGTACAGTCATGTGTACAGGTTTCGAGGCGCAAAAAATTGTGGCAAAAAAAAATCGGGACCCCAGGAGCTCGTGAAAGCAAGCTTTCTGGGAACTGCTGTACATCAGGTAGACCCTTCATTGTTGTCAATATCAATAACTTGATTTTTGCGCTTCTGCTTGGTCTTTTTGTTGTCTTTGAGTGCCTGCTTCCATTTGCTTAAGGTCCCTTCTTTATTTTATTATTCTTTGAGTAGAACGCAACTGTCATACCTCTACTTACGGACTGAGGCATGAGTCGGTGCCTTTTTGCTGAAACGTAATCCCGACCAATGCTAAAAGCTCGTTCAACATCAACAGACATAGCTACAGATTTTAATACAATAGATTTCAGATACCCCCTTGCCAATGTTGATGATAATATTGAACTCACCTGGGCAGCTTGAAATGTCTAGAGCCATATGTACAAGGCCCCCATGTGTATTACCTGCCCGTTTCTGTTTGATCCACCATGCAAGAGGATTCAAAGGATTGGTACGATTGAGCACAAGGCCTCCATCTAGCCACATGTCAAATGGGTCGGACGAGCGGTCTCCCCCACGGGCCACAGCTGCACTTCCAAGGCTGCCCAGCATACCGGTCTTGGGCTGTGATAAAGGCAATCAGATGATGTAAACAGGTCCAGAACAGTGGAACCAACTGACCTTTGAGCTTGAAGTTTGTGCCGAGGAGGCAGGAGTGATTGGTCGGGGCTTGTAATGCAATACCCACATGTCACAGGCCAGGCGAATTGCTTTGGATATCCATTCTGGCTCCCAATTGGCCAACTTAAAATACTCATCTTTAAAAGATGGGCAAAGCACTAAAAAAACAAAGATTTGTAAGAAAAAAACAAAAAAGACAATGAGCAATGAAGAAATAAACATACATATGGCTATCCAGTACAGCATTGAGGTGTTGGTCAAGCTATAGTATTTACTTATTATCTTCAATCCAATGCGACAGGTGTTTCTCAATGCTGGTGGGTATTTGGCATTGCTGATAATTGATGATAAGTGATCCGTGATTTGGTCAATGAATAAGACTATGTTTGATATGCGCACTGAGCCTGCAATTGAGATTTGAAGGGTAATCTCGTGAAAAATGTTGAGCACTTTTGCCAAATCATGAGCCAAGGCAAAGTCCGACATATCCACATAATGCTATCGGTCTACGCCGTAAGTTTTATTGCGCTGCCACTCAAGCCTTTGAGTAATCAAAAGAAACCAACAAGTCAGTAAGTTCAATTTGATGATACCGCCTATTGGGAGGAGCACTTACACTGCAGCTTGACACCTGATTATACTATTGATTTGTGCACTCGTTGAGTTCCAGCGGGTGCATACATCTCTTTCAATGTTATGCGGGGTATCACACCCTTTCTCCTGACATATTTTGACCAAGTGTGCCGTGGAATTTGGAGAGTACCACAATTTTTTAGCAATTGCTTGAAACTATATCAAATTCAGATTTCAGTTCCAATCAAGCAACATGAAATAAAAAACTTGAGAATATCCTTGCTTTGGCTAAAGTCACCCTTCAAGATTCCAATGTGTAGCAATCCCCATCATCTTCATTTCTTGCGTGTTCAATATCCGCCTTGCTGAGTGATTCTGTGTCATCTCCATCTAGTCCAGGAAGCGATTCACCTTCACTGGAGTCTTTGGGTTGTGAGTGGGGGGGAAATATCCCCACGCAGAAGTCTAGAATTTTAGGAGGAATAAATGAGAAATTGAAACACAGATTGGATTAAATTCACTTCCAACTTACAATCTGATTTGCTCCTCAGCATCATCTTCCAAAGTTTCCTTGTCCGAATTGAGCATATCAGTGTTGGAAATTGACCCTCCACTTGTCTTCTTTTGACTTCCAAAAGGACGGAGGATGCCCTGGACAACTAGGTTGAGTATGTGAGCAAAACAGCAAATCCAGTGTGTCTCGCCTTTAAATTGGGGCCACTTAAACTTTTTAAGCTCCCGTACCATGACTTTGTTATTCTTTGCGTTGTTGCTCACATGTTATGAGCTGTGGAGGACTGGAACTGGGGACGTTACATATGTAGAGAACCTGTTATGTACATGTCACAAACTTCAAACTTGGAGTTTTTTTGAGATCCACACCTTGTACATTCCTCATCTTGCAATCTACCATCAAGAACCAGAACCCTGAAGATCCTCACCTGCTCTCCCCAGAACACCCCTAACATATTGCAAGATCAAAATACACAGAGACCAGGACAGAACACCCAGAACACCGACCATCAAACCTTGAAAATCACCTCAGAAAACTCTCTCCTCCAACCTTGAAAATCAACCCCTCAAACCTTGTCTATCTTAACTCTCAACCTTGTTACTCACTTCCCTGCATCTCTGCCTACCCCTCACAGAACTCACAGGACCTCCAGGAGCCCCTCAGGCCCCCCCAGGAGTCGTTTTTTGTAGTTGGATCATCGCGGATCGTCGTTTTTGTCGTTCGGATTGTTCGGAGCATCATTGGACCCTTGGAGGACCCCTCGTGCCCTCGGAATCGCATTGGAACGCTTGGAACCTCCTCCGGAACGTCCCAGGACACCACTGGACCCCCCTAAGCCCTCCGTTCACTGTCAGACAACCTGGACAGACCGGCTCGCCATTGGACACCCCACAGCGAACCCCTCAGAACCCCAGCGACCCCTGGACCTCTCCAATCGTCCGGAGAAGCCCCTGAAGCGCAGCAAAGCGCCCCAGAGCCCCAGAAGCGCAGCGAAGCGCCCCAGAGCCCCACCAAGGCCCCAGTAACGCAGCGAAGCGCCCTAGGACACTACAGAACCGCCCCAGACCCCCAAGAAACTCCCCCAACGCGCCTTGAGACGCCCCAGAGCTGCCCAAGTCCACTTTGAGACGCCCCTGGGAGACCCCTGGCATATTATTTTCCAGGTTCCAGCCCCCTGATTAGACCTCAGACCACCAGACCCACAGAACAACTTCAAGAACCCCCTGTGAGACCCCTGAAACCCCAGAAAGAACCCCAAACCCCCCAGAAAACCCCTGGAACCCCCCCAAAAACCCCAGAGCCCCCCCCCCCCCAAGACACCCCAGAACCCCAAAGAAAGCTCACACAAGCTGTTTGGCAAGGCAAAAAAGTACAAAAGTAAGCCTCCACAATTTTAGTTGCACCTTCCAAAGTCACTACACACCGTCAAAGCATTACCTGCCACTCTGTGAGCCGCCCCGCACTATTTCGCTATGAACATAGACCCAAAGGATGCCAAGCTGCCAAGGTCCAGCCGCAACTGGCCAAACTCTTGACCATGGTCAACATAGAGCGCAAGGCCCAGAAGGAGATGGAGGCGCAATTGGCCGGGAAGGAGGCCAAACTGGCGGAAACCGTGGCAACCACCAACAACCCACCGCAACCCCCAACTGCTCCAGTCAAAGGCCCCAAGATTGGAGCCCCCAACAAGTTTGACGGCACTCGCGGAGCCAAAGCGGAGGTTTTCATTAACCAGGTAAACCTCTATATCCTGGCCAACCAACACCTCTTTGGCACCGACCGCGCCATCATGGTCTTCATTTTGTCCTACCTGACTGGCCCGGCCAGCTCTTGGGCCCAACCGTGGATGAAGAAGGTGATGTGTGAGACCAAGGCTATCAAGCATGAAGACTTTGTCACTCAGTTCAACGCCATGTACTGCAACACTGAGAAGAAGACCAAGGCAGAAGCAGCCCTCCGAGCGCTCAAGCAGACCAATTTGGTATCTCACTACACCCACCAGTTCAACCTGCACGCCCACAACACCGACTGGGGACCTGCCGTCCTCGTCAGCCAGTACAGACAAGGCCTATCATCCCAAATACGCCTCATGCTGCTGATGGCTCAAACTGAATTCTCGGAACTATCCGACATTGTCACTCTGGCCCTGCAGATTGACAATGAACTCTGCAGTCTGACCCCCACGGAGACAACCAAGACCCCAGACCCCAATGCAATGGACTTATTGGTCATGCGAGGCCGCCTCTCAGACGTGGAGAAGACCAGGATGATGTGAGCGGGCCAGTGCTTCCGATGCGGGAAAGAAGGACACATCTCGAGGGACTGCCCGGACCGTGGCCCGAAGGGGAAAGGAAAGGAACGATCCCAAATTGCCAAGCTGGAGGAGGAGGTCAAACAGTTAAAGGCTGGAAGTAGTAGGGCGGATTCGTCAAAAAATGGAGGCGCTCAGGAATGAAGGATGTGCCTATCCTGAGCAGTGGAGAGTTGTTTGTAGTTAGCATTGGCGCCAGTGAAATTTTTTTCAAGAAATCAAATTGATCCACATTTGTTTATTTCTTTGCCCACCGTGCCACCCAAACATTCTCAAGCCACAACCCCATTGACACTCCCTCCCGCTACCTTTCTCATTGACTCTGGAGCAGCCCACAACGTGATTAGTGAGTCTTACACCAAGTCTACAGGACTCCTGGATTTTTCCAGAC